TATTGGTGCTACCAAAAGGCGTACAAATATTTCAAAAACCTGAATCTCCTAATAAATATGTCTCCCACTGGTTTGATAACAATTGGAGCTGTTGCGGGTGGTTTGGCACTTAAGACTTTCTCTGAGACTAAAGATTATAAACGTAAAATTGAGATGAGTAGGTTTGCCTATACAACTAACCAGAAAGTGTTGCTCGACCTTGGAACTGCTATAAGAAGGGGCTCATTTGATAAAAATGATTTCCTAAAAGAGTTGAACATACTCGATGACGCCATTACTGATTTTTGCCTATTAGTGACAAAATTAAAAAAAAAAAAAAACACGCTATTCGTCTCCCATTTAACAGATCCTAAATAATGTCCGCTACAAGATCAACAAGATGGCGGACTGACAACGACTGAGCACGTGCCCGGATAGTACTTCGTGTAAGCTAGCCCAGTAAAGTTTATTTTAGATTAGGGGATTCCCCCACTTCCTGTCTAAATTCTCAGAATTGTCCAGGCCGGTTAATGTCATCCTTGATTAAAGCATAAACTCTCTTCCACTACTGACTGTAATACATTGATGTTTTCTTAGACTTTGTAAGAGGGATAAATTTGTATTCTAATCCTAAGATGTCAAATAGCTGCTTTAGAATGAATTTTATACAAACCATTCGTTTCCGGTCTGTGTCAACTTGTTTTGCCGCTTGATCTATTAATGCAAATATTCTCAGAATTTTCTCTCTATTATAGTAACCAATCTGCATACTATTCTTTTGTGCAATATCATTGATGACATTCAAAATATATTTTTTCACAAGTCTGTATTATCAATGTAAACAAGCAAAAATTACCACATACAAAAAGACTAAACTCAGGGATTATTCTAGTCTGCTACACAGCCGTTTTCAGTGTCGTCACGCAACGTTCCTCCCCACTAGTGGGGAGGAGCGTTGCGTGACGACACTAAAAACGGCTGTGTAGCAGACTAGGATTATTCCAGCTTTAATACTAATAAATTCATGAATGACCTAAGTGCAATTAATTGGGAAGAGGTTTCTGGTAACTGCGACGTAAACAAGTCTTTCTCACACCTTTATAAAACCATAAATCATGTAGTTAATAAACATGCACCGCTGAGGGATGCTTCAGTGAGAAAACTAAAAATGTTAACTAAACCTTGCATGGCTAACTGCAAGACTAAGGAAATCTATAAAGGTGAAGAATAAATTGTTCTTTAAATCAAACTGGCCGAAATGTAAAATATATAGAAATAAGTTAACAACCCTTATTCGATTGAGTAAACAACGTCACCATTAAAGGTTTTTCGACTCTAACACATAAGTATTAAGAGCGACCTTCTGTAAATACCACTGATAGGTGTGCAAGATGAAAAAAATCGAAATCCCCCAAACTTTGTCACAACAAAGCCCTTTTGAAACTATTTTAGAAAATACAAGACTTAGTTCGCTTGACTTTATATTTTCCAAAATAATCAATATTTTTTAATTTTCACCTTCGAGAGGCCTTCAAACCACTGAAAAATGTGCGTGATATCCTCGCTTCGTGAATGGAAACAGAAACTAATACCATGACTTTTCTTAAATTAAACAATTTCATGATCCTTCCTTTGTATCTAAACGTTGTTACAATTTCAAAAGATTTCAATCTGAGTTTTCAATATTTTTCAAAATTACCCTCTAATTCAGTGTTGTCGCGACCATCAATTTTGCCATTTTTCAAAGGCGAAAATCCCTTCCTGGTAGGCTTTCATTAGAAACATTGTATTCCAGGGAAAGAGCAATGCTTCCCCTATCCATCTGTGAAATAAAATTTTGGGGCAATTCAAACTGCGAGTTTTTACAACTGAAAACATTTACAGTACTCGCGTGATTTACGACTTTGAACTTGCAGTTGTACTGATGAATACAAGCGAGAACTTAGACAGCATTTGAAACTCTGGCGCAAATTCGCCTCTTTTCCGCCAGTTTAAACACCAAAAATGATTCTAGATTTCACAGTGGCAACTTTTCAAAAGGAAAAGCAATTTCTCTGTGTGAAAGTGAGCTATGAACTTCTTGACTACAACACTTCCCTTAATTACGTGCGTATTTGTTTATTGTTGTCGTGTTGTACAGTTATCATTTATGTACAAAACGGCTTTAGTGTCGGTAGCTATTCTTTAAAATGCTCTTATTTCTCATGAAACAAATCGTTATAGGAATAAAAAAGGGAAACATTTTGACCTACCTCACATTTTTGGACAACAGACCCGAATCCTTTACTCCCCTTAGCGAAACGAGATTGCGTGACAAAGAACTCTGAGACCCAGGTCATACCGCGAAAAAAGATACCATTCTGAAAAAGAAACTCACGCGGCACCTTCTGTAACTATAAAAGAGAAACAGGTAAATAATCAAGATCCGTAGTTTCACTGACTTATCCGCTAAAGCGACCATGAACGTAACACTAATTAAAAAAATATTTTCCACGAGAGCCTATGAAGTGGTGGGCCCTAATAATAACACATTTTTAAAAGCTGTTAAAAAAGACTATTCTACAACAGTTTTGTTTTGAAATACGATTATGAATTACTTTATTGCATCCTTAGAAAAATGAAATTGAGGGGGGAAAAGCGCTAAGTCGTAGTCTGAAATGTTATCCGTCCCTTTCCCCCACTCACCAAGGGGCCGCAGCCCGTTTCGGGGTGTGACGAAGAAACGCATAACATTTCAGACCAGCCAGGTCGGGGCTAGAAAACCTGCATAACTTTAGAGCACCTCTGGTCGAGAAAGTTTTGCATTTCTGAGCAACGTTTGAGCAAAGTATAGACTTACGGCACATTTCAAGCCAGAAAAAGGGAGCAGTTTGATAGAAACTAAAAAGTCTAACCTCGTCCCCGGGACGCTTTTCCCTGGCTTTGGAGGTGGGGCGCTCCACCTCCAAAGCCAGGGAAAAGCTCAAGTACGCCTGAACCGTGCCCGTATAAGCGCCTCTAATGACTCCGGCGGATCGGGGGAGAGGCTGGGTGGGTTTTGAATCGTCGGCGAAAGTAATACCAAGTTTGCACGTCATATCGCTTGCCGTGCGTGAAATGAAGTGAAATGAATTACCCGCCAAGTTTAAAATAACATGACGCCACTCAAACCGACCAATAAGGTGGCGTCCTTAAAATAACCTCGCAGTATGACACAGAACCAAGAATAGATTGAGAATAATTTTCATGGAAAGAGGGTCATGTATGGGGGATTCGCTCACTTAGATCATTCTCTCTTGCTATTTTATGTATGACGTTCATGCTAAGACAGCTCCTAAAAGTCTTTTCGATACGTTTGCGAGAATCAATACAAAACATCATTATAATACGCGATTATCTGCAAAAGAATGTTTCTCTGTCAAATTCTCTAGAACTGAAAAAATGAAAAAATCTTTGACTAGAATTGCTGTGTCTATTTGCAATTCTATTCCACTTTCTGTTAAGACTCTCAACATATCTCATTTTCTTCAAAAAATTAAATCACTACTCCTTAATGTTCTAGGTAATGAACATAATTATTTGAATGTTAATTATTTGATAGAATATTTTATGAAGTTAACCTGATATGTTGTATGTACCTCCAGCTGTAATTTTAGTCTTTTTCAAATAACAAAATCCCCTGTACTTGAATTTATATGTAAGGTGTTTCTTTCTGTATGTTATTGTATTTCTTTCTTTTCTTCTTTTTTCTTATGTAATTTAATAACGTCTTTATTTAAAGTCTTGTTCTGCCTAGATTAGCATTATAGCTATTTGCAGGACATAAAGTATTGTAACTTTATATTTCTTTAAATAAATACATTGTTGTTATTATTATTTGCTATGGTACACAGACTTCCTTCTTATCCTCTGCATATTTCCATGCATAAAAATCCACAAACTCATACGCTGATCTATACCCGTGCATAGAGCCACAATTAGTGCATACTTGTTTGAAACCGTCTGCAGTTATATTTGGCTTGTTACAGCACCTCGCATTGTTTCTATACTTTTAATTTCCTCCAATTGCTTATCACAAAATAGGCATTGCACCAGATTCTCTTTTTTTAATTAAAACATATGCGCTTTTTCACAGTCCATCTATACTATAATATATTGTATTAATATATCTCTCGAGATGTATTTGCCTCTGCACGATGTCGAGGGAAACCCCCTTGGAGGGACACAAATCACATCCCACATTAAAGAGAATAATGAATTGGACTTCTATATAAGGCTCGTTCAAAGAAGTAATAAAATGTAACTGTGAGAAGGATTATAAACAAAATCTGACGTCACGGCACAGAACCCATGATCTGATGACGTCACGGCACAGCTGTGCCGGTCCGTAAGTTTCATAATTGTGTAAAGCCTTCTAAAATATTCTGATGACTTATTTCCCCTTGGAAGCCCCTATTGGAAAGTGGCCGTACGCGTAACTGCGGGGCGCGATCCATTCAACCAAGATTCCAACCGGTCCGACCGGGAAAAGTGGTCCACCTCAAAAGGTTGGACCGAACCGATCCATTGAGTTTTGGACCGAAATTTCCGGAAATTTTGGTTGAATAGATCGCGCCCGCTGATTCCATCAGTGTGTATGAATCTTTTGTCTTCAAAACAGTTGAGTGATATTTTATTTAATCGGTAGCTACCAATCTGGCGGCACTCACTCCTATTTGTGCGCATGCTGTGTAACATTTGTTTCCTATTCAATAAGCAATACTGCTGGTACAGGAAAGTCGTATGTCATCAAGTGTCTACAGAGGTTAGTGCGGCAAGTGTTTGAAGCCAATGATGCAATACAGGTGATAACTCCGACGGGGAATGCTACCTGTCTAGTTCAAGGCAGTACAGCTCATAGCTTTCTAGGAGTACCAACAGGTGGAAGGTCTTGCAATGAGTTGACTGTACCTTCAGGTCCCTTACTAGAGAAAATTCAGAAAAAGTGTGAAAATCTGAAAGTTCTGGTTGGTGATGAACGATCAATTTTTGGACGCACAACAATGGAACAGCATGCACGTTATGCAATCAACAAAGGAGCCAATGCAGATGAGTTATGGGGAGGGATTCCTGTGGCAGTGTTTATGGGAGACGATGTTCAGCTTCCTCCTGTGTGTGACACCCCCGTGTACATCTCAGATTGTCGTAGTGCACCATCTAACCATGGTCGCTTGGTGTGGACAATGTTTGATAGTGCTGTTGAGCTTACTCAGATTATACGACAGAATGAATCTGAACAACAGCTGAGAGATGTGCTGATGTCACTAAGAAATTATATGACAACACCCCAGCAAATCCATTGGCTACAACAGTTTCAAAGGCACAATCTCCGCATGTCGCATGGCCCAGAACTCCTTGCTAGGATGGATGAGCAGGCTCTGTACGTATTTCCCACGCATCATCTTGAATGGCAGCGTAATAAAACAAAGCTGCTTGAGTGTAACAGACAGCCAAACCATCCAGTAGCAAAGATCAAGGCAGTTGACAATGGCAGACATGCAGTGAAGGCCGACAGTAACAAGGCGGGAGGATTGTTACCTCTACTGTATCTTTGCCGTGACAGTAAAGTCATGCTGGTAGTTAACTTAAAGGCTGATTGGGGTTTGTACAATGGGGCAGTAGGCACAGTCATAGATATTTTGTACAAAGATGGCCGCAGACCTAGTGATGATCCTGCTCCACTACCTGGTGTGGTTCTGGTGAGGTTTCCAGGATAAAGGGGGCCACCATACATTAATGAAGATCCTACAGTTGTGCCAATTGTACCAGTAAGTCGTTCCACTGAATGCGCATGCCGATGCAAGCGTCTGCAGGCTCCTTTGCGACTGGCATGGGGAACAACAATCCACAAATGTCAAGGGATGACTGTGGGCGCCGGAGAAGCATTCAGGTATGTAGTGGTTCATCGTGGGGACCATGGTTTTGAAGCCAGAAACCCAGGAGCTCTATTTGTGGCACTGTCAAGAGCAAAATCAGCAGGTGGGGAAGGAAGAGATCTTGATTTTGTTTTTCATGAAGATGTACTGATAAACAATGACAGATTCAGACATGTGGACACTCCAACTACAAGAGCTAGAGCAGTGGAGATTGAATTCTTTATTTGCCTAGAATTTCATATATAGCTAATATTCGCTTTGACGTTGTTTTTAGTAATTCATAGTGAATTTACATAAAGAGGTTTTAGCTCCGCAAAAAGGCTCGTGCCATTTTATTGTACTTGTTTGATTACTCAGTGTTCGTTAACGCCATAATTTTAGAAAAAGCCAACGGTGTTTACAGCTGTCAAAACTATTTGCCACTTACTCTTTTCAACTGGACGCGTTTAACTTCAATTGTTGACTTTTACAAAAATCATTAGTTTTCAGAATAATGGCTATTAACTTTAGTTTATCTTTTAATTTAAGCTTTCTTTTTATTCTATACGACATCCTTTCACATTAGCACCTTTTTACAGATGTACCTCGTTTTAATTGCATTTTACCAATATGTATTTGCGAATATAACGTTCATTAGTCTGTTGGTTAAATAGTGGCAACAGTTGAGTTTAGGATATGAAAGGTTTTGCTAAGTTGCAAATTCGAAATATATTTGCTTTGCTTTAAAACTATAGGAAACTAGTAATTAGTCCGCGTTTCTTCCTGTTTGAACAGACGCTAGCTGGCCTTGTAATTTCATTCATATTGTAAAATATTGTACATAATGCTGTTCATTCATATTGTAAAATATTGTACATAATGCTGTTTTGCTGACCTAGCAAACTTAGTTAGCTGGCCTTGCAATTTCGTTCATATTGTAAAATGTTGTACATAATGCTGTTTTGCTGACCTAGCAAACTTAGCTAGCTGGCCTTGCAATTTCATTCATATTGTAAAATATTGTACATAATGCTGTTTTGCTGACCTAGCAAATTTAGCTAGCTTTTGTTCCAGTACTTTTACTTTTTAAAAACAACAACACTAACAAGCTGTAACTATCTCTTTTATTTGATTTTCATTTACTTCTAAATGATATCTGTCTACTTATCTATCAGTACTCTTTTGTTTTCAATGGTTATTCAAATCATATATAAGTAAATTGCTTTGAACGGATTTTTTGATTACATTGCTCATTACATCGAGGATTTCAGAGTTGTTCACATTGCTCCTAACATCGCGGATTTCAGAGCTGATACGCTACGTGTACAAGAATAAACGCGGTTGGAACCAAAGTTCAGTTTGCCTTTGCTGTACCAGTTAGTGGTTTGATCCCGGACCTCAAGAGAAGTGACGGCTCTTTCCCGCAAGCGAGTTGCAATTGAGTCTAGTTTCCCCCAGTTAACCAATAGTTAAAGCGCCGAGTTCCCGATGAGTGTTCAAATCGTTCGAAAGTGGAAAAACTTTCCGTTACAGTTAGACGCGATTTTCCTTGAACAGTAGGGTCCTTTTAAGCGCTTATTCCTCAAGAAATATTTACCATAAATGAAATCGGAATATTTCACATGATTACCGAACGACCTCTGTTGTTCTTTCTATCGCGTTAAAAACGAAAAAGTTATGACGGAAAATTTGTCACAGCTAAATGCTCCAGTATTAATGACGGAGCCACCTTAATTTCAATCAACCAATCACCAAGATACAGGCATGATAAATTAAGAACTAATGACGTCAAATCATAAAGGGAAATAAAATCAATGGAATGCGCTACGTCGTATACAAAAAGCGTATTATTCTACTTAAATAATGGTGGTAGACCATTGTTATTTCATTAAACTGGGTCTTTTTTTGGTCAAAAAACATAAGCAAACAAAATATGCGATAACACAACTGTATCAATCCGCACTAGACCTTTAGGAACATTTTGATTTTCATCTTACTGACGCAGTTTGCGTGTAAGAATTAGGAAATTATGGCCAGTAAACTCAGCAATCGAGAACTCTTGGAAGGATTCTGGTACTTCGCAATAAGGTAGTCTTCTGGATTAGACTTAAAAAGAACGAATCTTATTCTAATTTGTTTTAAGTAACTTCCTAGTGGTGTGGGACTGTTCCAAATGCTCTCACTGACAATCATCTCTGTACGGCGTCTTCCCACGCCCTCTCGATCAATGCGTTAAGCGTTAAGAAGCTTAAAGTTATCTTTGCGTTAAGTAGAAACAAGTTTCTAAAATATTTAGGTGCACATACAATCGGATACTTGGGCTGTGTCGGGTTTGCATTTGAATTCCTACGGTAAGAACACGTACGATCTAGCTCCCTTAAAAGCGTGGGTGCTATAGAGATGCCAAAAAGTTACCGAAGAAATGCGGACGAAATGCTTAAAACACTGTATGCCAAAAAGCAGATGCCAAAACGGCCAAATGCTAAATACCGCATGCCAAAAATAAAAACCACAAACCAAAAATCAAATACTACAGAAATGTAAACATGATCTATCAAGTAACACAGAGAAAGTCATGAAATATATATATATATATATATATATATATATATATATATATATATATATATATATATATATATATATATATATATATATATATATATATATATATAAAAATAAGGAGAAATTCAAAACAAGTTAATTTCAAAATGGAATGTTTCTCAAGCCTTTCTGACAAGCCTTCTATTTACTATAAATACAGAGGTGATTTACTTCAACATTCGGTTGTCAATCAGAATAACGAAACTCAATCACGAAATTCAAGACCAGTGGCACTTAGCACCCATGCTCGTTTACGATTCAATTCATCCATGAGCTCGCTCCTAGGAGCCTTTGATTTCAACAGGAATTGCTCTAACACTGAGTTATTTAGCAGTCGTGGGTATTTTGAGGTTGCACTCTTTTGTCTTCAGACTTGGCTAAGGGCATTATGGGACTGCTAGTGGAATTCCCTATGCAACTTCCCATAGCCGTGAGCAATTACTGAGTGGATTAGAAATAAAGAGATACAAATACGTCTGCCAAAATATCACCAAAAAAACCCAGTCTCCTCAAACTTGTTTCTTAGCTATAAATCTTTCCATCGTTTTGAACAGCATATTATTTTCAAACTGATGATGTACTGTTCCCCCAATTCCATTGACTCGACCGCTATTGATAATGACCTACTGATTCTAAAGCAATGAAAAGGTGCGCTCCTCGGCCATCAAAAATTATCATTTTTTTAAATATATTTTTCAGAAGGCCTCGCATGCAGCTGAGGAATTATCCTATATGCAAAACGGAACAACTTCATGAGGCTTTACATGGGGAAATGTCGGGGTAAAATTTAGTATACTTCTGCTCCAGGAAGCTGTCAGTGTGACGAGTGCCAAGCGTGCATTGTTGTACGTGTTATTACGATTAGGGTTACGCAATGTGTCAACGTGAATATTTAATAAGCAGGATATTCATTTGCTTCTTGTCTTATCAAGGAAGCTTATTTCCCTCGTCTTGCTGTCTCTTACAAGTGTTTCAGTCAGCGCCACGGTGAGCCTGCCGGGTTCCTGGGTGGGGAAGGGAGTGTGAAGGAGGAGGAAGTGGCTCCACGCTATATCGACCCAACTTTTGAATTACTATATTTAAGGAATTTTTACTTGGTAATACAAAATATAAACGTTACACTACCAAATTGGGACGTATTGTGGAAAGAAGTTGCCCCTTCTCGGTGCTGAATTCTATCAGAACAGTGCTGATCAAATTCAAGCCTCTCCTGACGTGAGCGTGAGAAGATAGTTGTCAAGTTCAACTCCTTTGCTATCTTTCCTTTCTTTTTTGTTGTTAAGTAATTTAAGTAATTTGGCCTTTATTGACGAGTGCAACAATAAAAGTGATGTTTCACGAGAGGGTTTTCAGCGCAGCACAGCGTTGCAACATTTTTGACAAAATGGTATTTGTCCAAGTAATTTCAATGCTGTTGCATTTTGCATTGTTATATTTCCCTTTAGAAAAAGTGTTCCATTTTGCGCCAGTCTTGTTACATTTCGAGTTTAAAAGTTGTTACATTTTGGGTAAAAAGTTGTTACAATTCGCTTTCATTTGCGCCAAAAGTTAGATGCTGCGTAACAAACGATAGTTCTACGGAACTGACTCTACTGCAGTGATTGCTTAACCCTAACAATTCCGTTTCCTGCAAACAAAGTTAATCTGGACCCACCTTTTAATTGGTACCTCGATCTTATTGGATAAAATACATCAGATGATAAAAACCAGCAAAAATCCTGCGTTTACCATGAAAACTAGCAGAAATAGAGTTCAAGTTACAACTCAGAAAGCAATAATTATGAGGCACGAGGACGCTGTCTTGAAGGAAAAAGGAAAAATCTATTATGGTGTGTTTAAGGGATTAAGAATGCCACAATAAACGGCGGGTTAAACAACAAACAACGATTAGAGTGCAAAACACTTTTATTTCTTTTATGACTTATTGAAATAAAATCACATAAGTACGTGCGACAAGGAAGAACAGGTTTAACATATTCAAAATATGTCTTCAATCTAGAAACTTCAACTGTAGCTACAATACATACCTTAAACTGAAACTAATAAAAAGCGAAAACACCCGCAATCATCAAACCAGGCAGATAGTGAAACACAGGAATTGGTGCGTGTAAGGTCTCACGCTCTCAACATGATAATCTCTGTTTTACCTTTCACGAAAGTACAGTCAAACTCCGCTTTACATACACCGACTTAATACGGACAGTTTTCCTTGTCCCTGGGAAAAAAAAAGCCCTTAAATTTCCTCTAAACTCTACCCG